AACATAGAAATAATACGTACTTCAAATATTGTGAAGTGCATCAAGTATATGTTAATAAAAACCTAAACTATTGGCACTCCAGTGTTATAAAAAAAAAAAAAAAAAAATAATATACAGTATATTTCTATATTACTATAAAAAAAATTTAATCGATAATACAATTTTCAATTATATATTACTTAGTAATTTTACTACAATATAACTTTTGAAAAATGATTAAATTAAATTTTATCACATATATAATTATAATTATATATTTAAATTTTTATTTTATTTTATTAAATTTTTAAATTTTTATTTTTTTTTCAGTAATGAATACTAATATTACACATATTTTTATTAAGTTATTCATATCCAATTATATAAGTACAAGATCCATTTAAGTTAATCTGCTCTTTCACCTATAGCCTTATTCAGTTATATTAATTTTGGCTATTATAAAAATGAATCAATATATCAGATAGGATTTTTAGAGAATAAAAATTTTATCATTAGTTTTAAACTATCTAACTTAATCTATATTTTGACAGTTGTTATTTGAAGTATATATCTTTTAGGATTAATTATAGTTTAGTTTTTGCTTTATTATTTCTTTTAATAAATTGATTTTATTGATGTCAATAATTTTAAAAATGTTTTGAAAGTTAAAAAAAAAGTTGAGTGCCTTTGTAAACATGAAATCTATAAGAATTATATTTATTGCAATTGTTGGAAAGATAAATCTACTAGTTTTATAAGGTTTAAATATGGTGACAAGAATTTTAATGCTTTTGAATCATTTGTTACAGAACCAACAAATGTAAACCATATTTGTGAATAGTTTTTTAGTTAAGAAAATTTATAGTTATAGCTAGATAGAAATGAAGATTTGTTGATTTTGATATTTTTGTAATTAATAACTGTTTTAAGATTAAATATATTGCTGATAAGAACATTTAGAAGAATGAATTTATTGTTAATAAGATTGCTCTTGAAAAAGTAATTTTCATATAATCTTTATATGATTTTTTGATGAAAAAATTTTTATTTTTTTTTATTGTAGATTTTTTAGATATGATATATATGAAAAAGAGTTGTGATTGTTTTGATTTTTTTTAATATTATTTAAAATATTTTATAAATTTAAATAGTATTATTAAAAGTACTTAATAATTTTAATTTATCAAATATTTGTAATCAAATTTTTAATTTATAAAATTTATTTTAAAGTTGTTATTTTAATAATTTATTATTTTGAATTGATTTTTAAGTTTTTCATTTAATTATTTTTTATAAAAATTTTTTTTTTAATTTTATGCATTCTTATCAATTGAGTTAAATACTAAAAAAAATATTAAAGCTATTATTTTTTATAATTCTTAATTTTTTTTAGAATAGATTTTTATTTATTTTTAAAGTAAGATTTATTAAAAAATTATAATACTGAAAATTAAAGCAATTTCCTAAGTAAACTTATTTCTTATATTCATAAGAAGATACTTTACATTATTTATAAAGCTTATAATAACTAATTATGAGTTTTTTATTTATAAGTAAAAATAGTAAAAAAAATGTTTTTTAAAAGCAAATGTATTTTAAAAATTTATTAAATGTTTGTTTTTAAATTCTAATAATTCAAAATATATATTATATTTTTATTTAATATTATTAAATTATAAATAAAAGCAAAAGTTAATATCAATAATAAATTGAAATTTCTGACACTTGCTTCGGCCATATTACCTGTGACAGCACATAGTAGCGAACATATGAAATAAAATGATCTTAGCACTGATAGACAAGGTCATGAAATATTTTATTAAAAATTATAGTGGATCATGCATATAGTGATAAAAGATAACCGCGTAAATTCTTCTGACTAATACTACAAACAGAATCTTCAAAATATAGACTAATCAATTCTTTTATAACATAACGCATATGGTCTAATATTTTGATCCGAATTTGTAATCCAATATTTATCTTGGTTTTCCTTTCGGAGATCAGTAGGGTCAACCCTATTCTGAAACATCAACTTGTATTTATTATTGTCTAAACTAAATGTAAATTCTTTAGAATATTTTTCAGCTACATCAGAATAAGGAGATGAATAAATTCCTCTCCCGTATGCAAATCTTTTTCCTTTGTTTATATCATAGCCACCAACAGCAATACTACCAGCGGCATCGCCATCAGTGCCGTGATAAGATATTGGCCATGCATCTAAACCAGTGCCTAGCCATTTATAATCACCATACCTGTCAACGTTAAGACCAAATTTTTTCCATCCGATAGGTAGATGGTATCGCTCATATCCGCGTCTATGTAGTCCATTGTCTCGCCTATATGTGTAATCATAATCGAATTGGGGTTTTAAGAAACTTTTCGCAATAGTATAATGACCGAGAAAGCCACCTAATAGTCTATGTGATACGTGTATGGTACTTCCTTGTGTAATGTCGTATGAGCCTAGAGTACGACAATCAATCAATGGGTGACCAAAATGTCTGAGACTTAAAGGTTCGTCGGTTTCAAGTCTTTCTTGAATTTCTCTTCTTAATCTGAGGACGGTGCTATTCAGATCCACGAATATTGAACGACTTTCTCCGAAAATGTTGAAAAAAATTTGTGTCATATCGTTACTGCCTTGCCATGTTTCTTCATATTCTTGCCTAATATGTCTTTGTCCGCAATATTCGCAATTTTCTGGTCTAAAACAATCATGATCTTCAAATCGAGGTCTTTTAACAACTTCACCATTGTCATCTACTTTAAAAAGACAATATTTGTGAACTAAATCAATATCCAAAGCAGGTCCTTCGGATTCGGTTGCCACTACACGACAGCCAATTAGAGACGACATTGCTTCGGCGACAAATTGCAAAGTTAAAGTATCATCCATGGCAAAAATTGGTTATGTTTTGAATTTATATGTAATAAATATATATAAACTTTTTTTGTTGATATCTAACCAACGAAAAAATGTTTGGTTTATAAAGCCTTACCAAAATCTTCGTTTCGTATGATTTATTAATGTTTATCATCAATATCGTAGTTAAAGTAAAACACTTATAAATTTACTCGATACAGTACGTATGCGGAACAGCGCATTCGGAATCAATGAATAATTAATTTATCCAATTATAGTAACAATGTGCTGTTTTCATTTAAAATGCTTAATCAGAAGTTCACAAAAGCACTACGGTCAACTCTCGATAAAAAAACTGTGTACAAATAGTCTATATACAGTATGTTGATGATCAAAAGCATTAATCGAAAATTTTCCGGGTCCCGGTTTACTCGATATAAGAAAATCTGATACACGGGGGTTTTCGAAAAAATCCGGAATTTTTTTAAATGTAAAAAGTTACTACATAATAAACTTTTTATTTTATTAGGCATATGTGGTTTTGTGTATTAAGTAAGTATAATATAGACAACTAAATACGTATACAGTGAAACTTTCGCTGATTTATAACAACATTTTATTATTAGCATTTAGGGTTTACATTTCGTGCGGCGATTTTTTGATTTTGATTTTGATTATTACAGGTGGACAAAAGTTTATGGACAACTTTTTTTTTTTTTTAAAATAAAATTTAATTTAAAAACTAATTAAACTTTTTTAATAAAAAATATACTTATTATATATATGTTACATATTCAATTTATAAAAATGTATCATTATATAAAAAAAATTTTTTTTTATTTACTTAAAAATTTCACTTCAATTTTTGCATAACCACTAATGCCTGCTAATAAAGAATTAACTTCTGAACAAAAAGCAGTCATAATTTATGGTTATAAAAAAAAAGATACCTATCATAATATCATAGCCAATGTCAAATGCTAAAAAAGTGTGATGGATAATGTTATAAAGTATTTTATTGAAACTGGATCCACAAAATCGTTAACACGATGATCAGGATGACCATGACTTCTTAATAAGCATGCTTATACCACCCTCAAAAAACTTGTTATTGACAAAAAGGGTAACAGATGTGTTACTGTTGCAAAACTAATCAATCTTTTTATAGCCAAAACAGGAATCAAAGTATCTGAAAAAACCATCCATTGAACCCTGTATGAAAAACAGTTAAGAAGCTATATCACCATCTCAAGCCCTTCCTTTCGGAAAAAAATATTGAAGACTGACTTATCTAATACCTTGCATGTAAAAACTGGACCGTTTGGGACTTTAAAAAAGTAATCTGGAGCAATGAGTCTATATTTACTCAATTTTAACAAGGAAGTAAATATCGTATTTGACATAATCCACACAAAGAGTGAAATGTTGAATGTCTTTCTGCTACCATTAATCATAGTCCAAGCTGTATGCATTGGAGGTATTTTTTATAATTTGGTGTTGGTTCACTTGTTCCTCTTCGCACCTCAGTTAAAGGTAAAATAAAATTGGTTTATTAAATAAATAAAAAATTTTTTTTCAATTTAAAAAAAAAAATTAGACTTATCTTTTTTTTCTTATAATGAAGTCATATATCACAACTTTCCAAGATTATCTTCTGTCAGCCCTTTAAAATTTTGATGAAACTAATTGAAATCATAGTGGCCACCCTTGATTTTAATATGATAATACAAGACTATATATCACAAAAATTATAAAGAAGTTTCTTGCTAATAAAAATATTCAGATTATGAACTGGCCTTCTCAAAGTCCAGATCTTAATCTGATTAAAAACCTCTAGCATTATATTAAAGTTCAGGTTTACGAGACCAAACTTAATAATTTAATGAGCTCGAAGATTGTGTTTTAAAATATTAAAATGAGATTAATCTGGTATACTGCAAACAATTAATCAAAAGTATATTATGTTATATTATAACTTGTATTGTGGCTAAAGGAGAGCTACAAAATATTAAAAAAAATATAATTAGCTATGTATATATCTATAAATCAATAGAACATAAATTAATAATAAAAAAATATAGACCTACCCAGTCATAGTCCAGTGGGCTAAGACAAGGTAAGGCTAACCTATAACCTATGGTTCAATTCTAGCTAGGGAACAATTCACATATCCCAAATAAAAACTTTGTGTTACTGCCCCTGTAACTCGTAATAGAGAGCAACTTGGGTTGTTCCAATGATCAAGAAGCCTTATGGGTAGACTACACCCCATAGGTCGAAAAGATAGATGATCTGATTGGTAAACTTTTTAATCAAGTATTGTCCAGTAAATACCTTCAAAAGGGAAAAGAAGTTTCATGGGATCTTTCCGGTAGTGAAAAGAAAGGTACAGATGGCTAAAACCATTAGTCACACGACTATCAATAAGAGTTTCATATGTCCAATGGTAGCAAGGAACTGATCAGGGGTGCAGGAGATTGCTTATATCATGGGATGTTCTATCCTAAGGAGTATACTTGCGACAGTTGACTACACAACCCCATAAAATATAACCTCCCACATGTGTTACTAGGTCAGATTAGGAAAGGTAAGGCTGGGTCCAATTCCCAAATGAATTTGGTGTACTGGTATACCCTCATCCTGCCAATGATATCTCACTAACTAAACCCTAGTAAGTCTTGGCTAAACTGAACAGTTGAAATACTGTAATGATGACTGCAGGCTAGGATTGTCAAGGCAACTAGTATGGTCTGCTGATCTTGACATAGCAACCTATTCACTTCCAAAGTCTATACTTAGAGATTTAGGTCTAAGATAAGTATTTAAGATCTATAAAAAATCATCTATGTATTCCAAAGAAACATCAGGAGACACTTAGAGTTGACGATTAGGGATCTTGAGCTGACAGTGAATAATAAAATAATAATAATAATAATAATAATAATAAAATATATAATTAGAAAAAAAAATATAATTTTTTTTTTATATATTATAGCCATTAAATAAGAAATTTTTTAAATTTTTTAAATTTTTTTAAAAATTTTTTTATTTAAAAGTTTGGTTTTTAAAGATTTTAAATATATTTTTTATTTATTTAATTTTCTATTAATTT